GCGGATGTTGAGGTCAGGAGTTAGAGACGAGGCTGGCCAACATGGTGACACCCCATCTCTACTAAAAATACAAAAATTATTTAGGCATGGTGGCAGGCACCTGTAATCCCAGCTACTCGAGAGGGTGAGGCAGAAAAATCTCTTGAAACTGGAAGACAGAGATTGCCGTGAGCCGACATCACGCCACCGCACTCCAGCCTGGGTGAAAGAGCAAAACTCAGTCTCAAAAAAAAAAAACAAAAAGACCGTGACCTGGTAAAAATATGTCAAGACTCAAGTCTTGACTTACCAACTTCAAAAAACTGCTTACCTCCACACACCAAAATTCCTTTAACAGGGTTCTAAAATCTCTACATGGTCAGAAAACTAAATACACACTACCAGAAAAACAGGTTAAAAAAATCCAGAGCATGAGGTCAGGAGATAGAGACTAGCCTGGCCAACACGGTAAAACCCCATCTCTACTAAAAATATAAAAATTACCTGGGCATTGTGGTGCGCGCCTGTAATCCCAGCGACTTGGGAGGCTGAGGCAGGAGAATCGCTTGAACCCAGGAGGCGAAGGTTGCAGTGAGCCAAGATCGCACCATTGCACTCCAGCCTGGGTGACAAGAGCGAAACTCCGTCTCAAAAAAAAAAAAAAAAAAAAAAAAATCCAAAGCAATTTTCTAAATTCAAAATTAACTGCACCAAAAAGTCAACAAAATCTCTAAAAGAACTAACAATTTAAATTAGAACTAATCATATTTTTATAAAGTACAAGAGGTCCAATTCTCCAAGTCAAATACTACATTCACATTCAACTAATCTAATAATTGCAAAAGCACCATCTAAAAGTGACACCCATCTTAAGTTCTTTTTATTGATTCACATAAATGACTCAGTTAAAAATCCCCATAGTCAGGCCGGGCGCGGTGGCTCACGCCTGTAATCCCAGCGCTTTGGGAGGCCGAGGCGGGCAGATCACGAGGTCAGGAGATCGAGACCATCCTGGCTAACACGGTGAAACCCGTCACTACTAAAAATACAAAAAAATTAGCTGGGCATGGTGGCGGGCGCCTGTAGTTCCAGCTACTCCGGAGGCTGAGGAAGGAGAAGGGCGTGAACCCGGGAGGTGGAGCTTGCAGTGAGCCGAGATTCCCAGCTACTTGGGAGGCTGAGGCTGGAGAATGGTGTGAACCCAGGAGGTGGAGCTTGCAGTGAGTTGAGATTGCGCCACTGCACTCCAGCCTGGGAGACAGAGCTCCGTCTCAAAAAAAAAAAAAAAATCCCCATAGTCAAGTAATGTTTATGTCCTAAACTAACCTCAACCACTGAATTTTGCTTCACTGTACCAAACATTTTTTTTTTTTTGAGACAGGGTCTGGTTCTGTTACCCAGACTGTTGTGCAGTGACATGATCTCAGCTCACTGCAACCTCAAGCCATCCTCCCACCTCAGCCTCCCAAGTAGCTGGGACCACAGGTGCACATCACCATGCCCAGCTTTTTTTTTTTTTGGTAGAGACTGGGTTTCACCATCTGTCCCAGGCTAGTCCTGTACTCCTGGGCTCAAGGGATCCACCCGCCTCAGTCTCTCAAAGTGCTAGGATTATAAGCATGAGCCACTGCACTCTGACCCAGGTACCAAACTTAAAGCAGACATTTAACAGGCAGTCACTAAAAAAAAAAAACTGCAATTTACTTATATGTTGAAAGATTTCCCAAAAAGAAAGGAGAAAAGGAAACCCAGAATGAAATAATAGATCAATGACAAAACTAAATGGCTACTACAAAAACTATTACATGAGTAACTTATGGGGTACTTCACAACAGAGAGATCAGGCATCAGGCAACACGAATCCACTGGTCAATCTTAACATTAAAAAAAAAAAAAAAAAAGAAGCCGAGTGCAGTGGCTCACGCCTGTAATCCTAACACTTCGGGAGGCCAAAGTGGATGGATCGCCTGAGGTCAGGAGTTCAAGACCAGCCTGGCCAACATGGCAAACCCTGTCTCTACTAAAAATACAAAACTTAGCCGGGCATGGTGGCAGACGCCCCTAATCCCAGCTTCCAGAGGCTGGGGCAGCAGAATCGCTTGAACCAGGGAGGCAGAGGTTGCAGTAAGCCAGGCACTCCACTCTGGGCAACAAGAGTAAGACTGTCCTAAAACAAAACAAAACAAACAACAACAAAAAAAGAGCAAGACTCCATCTCAAAAAACAAAAAAAGACAGTATTTGCCTCTTAATGTAATGCAATAAAAAGTACATAGTACTATCTATGAATATTGTCAAAGCATGTAACTAGAATCCGATCAAGTCTCTCTCTTTTTTTTTTTTTTTTTTTTGAAACAGAATCTCACCCAGGCTGGAGTGAATGGCACGATCTTGGCTCACTACAACCTCCGCCTCCAAGTTCAAGAGATTCTCCTGCCTCAGCCTGATGAGTAGCTGGGATTATAGGCGCCCATCACAATGCCCAGCTAATTTTTGTATTTTTAGTAGAGACGGGGTTTCACCATGTTGGCCAGGCTGGTTTTGAACTCCTGACCCCAAGTGATCCGTGATCAGCCTGTCGCCGCCTCCCAAAGTGTAGGGATTACCGCGCCCTGCCTGATCAAGTTCTTTTTTTTTTTTTTTTGAGACGGAGTCTCACTCTAACCCAGGCTGGAGTGCAGTGGCACCATCTCCGCTCACTGCAACCTCCACCTCCCAGGTTCAAGCTATTCTCCTGCCTTAGCCCCCTGAGTAGCTGGTATTACATGCGAGCGCCACCACGCCCGGCTACTGATCAAGTCTTTAGACTAACTACTAGTTCACAGGAAATAAAGAAAAGACCGGGCAAAATGGGGCATACCTGTAATCCCAACACTTTGGGAGGCAAGGCAGGCGGATCACCAGAAGTCAGGAGTTCAAGACCACCCTGGCCAATATGGTGAAACCCCGTCTCCACTAAAAATACAAAAATTAGCCGGGTGTCGTGGCTCGCACCTATAGTCCCAGCTACTTGGGAGGCTGAGGCAGAAGAATCACTTGAACCCAGGAGGCGGAGGTTGCAGTCAGCCGAGATCACTACACTGCACTCAGCCTGGGCAACAGAGCGAGACTCCGTCTCAAACAAAAAGAAAAAAGAAAAAAAAATACAGAAAAAGAAACATGTTACACGACACTACAGGGATGCATTCAACAAAATCCAAACTGATGGAAATTCTACTGGGCAAATGATGGGGGTTTTTTTCCCAACAAATAAATGGCAAACGACACCCCCACACCCCAAGAGAGAAGGTACTAGAGACTGAAAGAGTTACCAACCAAATGCTATCTGCAGAATTATTTGTAACCTGATTCAAACAAATCAACTGACTAAAACAAGAGACAATCAGGGAAATATGCTGAATATTCAATATTAAGCAATTATTCATTTTTAGGTGTGATAATAATATTGTAGTTATGTTAAAAAGTCCTTGTCTTTTTAGACATAAACACAATAAAGTATCCATAAATGACATTTGTCTGGGATTTGCTTTAAAATCATTCCATTGAGGAAAAACAGGAGGAGTAATAGAAGAAATAAAATTCACATGGTTGAAGCTGTTGAAACTGGCCAATGGGTATATATAGTAGTTTATTCTACAATACATCTTCGCATGTTTGAAATCTCCCATGTTGGCCTGGCGTGGTGGTTCACACCTGTAATCCCAGCACTTTCGGAAGCTGAGGTGGGTGGATCACCTGAGGTCAGTTTTTAGAGACTAGCCTGCCAAACATGGTGAAACCCCGTCTCTACTAAAAATGTAAAAATTAGCCGGGCATGGTGGCTACAGTTCCAGCTACTCGGGAGCCTGAGGCAGGAGAATCGCTTGAACCCGGGAGGCAGAGGTTGCAGTGAGCAGAGATCGCGCCACTGCACTCCAGCCTGGGTGACGGAGTGAGACCCTGTCTCAAAACAAACAAACAAACAAAAAGAATAAGGTGGAAAATAGTGGAAGGCACATTATCTATTCAAAGTATTACTACACTTGTGGTATAAGTAAAACTCTTATTTCAGTGTTGTATGGCACTTGAATAGCGTCCAGTGAAAAGCAAACTTGCCGGACTCCAGCAGAGGGAGAGTTGTTTGCACAAAGCCTATTATATTCAAGTACTGATCAAAAATACCTACTCTGCTCTTCATGTCCCTGATGTAAATGACTTTCTTTTTAAGAAATCTTCAAAACTGGTTCCTGAGATCCAAAAATAAAAAGCTCTATCGGAAGCTGCAATGCACCGCCTCCCTCTCTCCATTCCGCACCTTTTGGGTTAAAACACGATCAGCCGTTCTCTGGGGCAACGGATGAGGTAGTTCGACTTAAATCCTGACTGACAGTACATCGTCTTGGTCCCCACAGAAGTCTCCCCCCACCCACCAAAATCCTTAATTCTTGCTAAAGAAAAAAGATCTACTATTAATATTGTCAAATCCCTCCGTTTTGGCTCCAAAAAGGAAATGTACCTGTAGAGTAACCGCTGCACAGCAAACAAGGCACTGCGTGTCCTCTACCCCCTTTTTGCACCCTTCCAGCCCTCCCTCCCTTTTTCCATGCAGAACTTGAGCAGAGCATTTGGCTCCCTTATCTGCCAACAACTGGCGCCAGGAGGACCGTGCTCCCAGGAGATGCGGGGCTTGAAGGCTGAGCGCTGCGTCGGGCGCGCTGCGGCCGCTCAGTTCAGCCCAGCCAAGTAGTCCCCAGCTCGCGCCTCTACCGCCTCGAGAGGCCCTCGCTGGTAGCCGAGTCTCTGCTCAGGGGATTCCCGAGAAGAGATGTCGCGTCGGACTTGCTACCTGCTCCCGCCCCTCACCCCCGAACGAACTGCACACCCGTCCCGCGATCCGTTCCGACAAATCCGGAAGCCTCAAGGCAATTTGGGGGTACTTCGCCGCATGGAACGCAGCTCCCTACAAACTTGCCTGCCAAGTCTCTCCTTTACCGCCCGCAACCCCAGGACCATTCCCCGCCCGGGCCTGCCTGGGTCTAGTACCATTCTCCTCACGGGGCGGACTCCGGAAGGGCAGCAACTCCACCTCCTCCTCCTCCGCGGCCTGTAGCCATCTATCGGGAAGCGTCTCCGGAGGCGGCAGCAGAGGCCGCCGGACAAGGAACGCCCAGGGAAACCTTCTCAGAACTAACTCAGCTCCGACGCTAGCAGCAGAAGCCGAGTCTTTCATAATTGTGCGACCAACTCCTCCGGGTGACTGGCCACAGGGACGCGCCCGCGCCCGCCTCCGCCGGCGACGGGGCTGGGGACGGACCACGTGAGCGGCGCGGCGCGTGCGTCGCCGCCCGCGGGTCGGGTCACGTGAAGGGCGCGCGCTCCCTCGCTTCCAGGCCACCTCCCTGCCCGCCGCGCGTACGCGCCGGGCAGGAGCGCGCCCCCACGCCGACCGCCTCCGGGTTCCCCTAAAGTGGTGTGGTGTTCACGCCGTATATCCGTTGGATACCTAGGCAGGACTTGGGCAAACATCTGCCTCAACTACGACAGTGGAACTTGGGGAATCGGAGGTTGAGGGTTAAGGTTGCAGGCTTCCGGATGCAGTTTGGAGTTGCTGTGTGGGCTCATTCCGCTCACCGGGCCTGGCCAGTGCCGACCCGCTCCAGCAGACTCCAGTGTCGCAGCACACTCTCTGTGCTTCAGAGCGGGTAGAGGCTTTAAATGTTACTCTCTCCTGTCCAAAATGCCAAATCATCTTCTTATCCCGATCATGTTCTTCCTCTAGCCTCTCCTGTTGCTGCCGGTAAATATTCTTCTTGGTTTAACTATGAGACTGTCTTTTTCCCTCCGGAGATAATCACCCACATAACACGCATACACCACACCTTCTGGACCAGAGACTGGGTTATTCCCTGGATGTAATATGTACCTATCCACCTTTCCATTTATTTTGCTATCACACAAGCCCAGGTTTGGCTATTAGCAATGGTTTACTAAATGGTATTCTTTATCTACTGGGAAAACCACAATCAGTTTGATTTTCTTAAAACTGCTTTAACATCTTTCTGCTCCAGAAGACTTCGAGAGTTCTTCTATCTGACCCTCAGCGATCTGACTCTATCTTATCTCTTTTTTAAAAACTTTATTTTAAAATAATTGACATGAGAAACTGCACGCAATTATATGTCCAATCTGATGCTTTGACATACCTTTGCACCCATGAAATCATACTCAAATGAACATATTCACCTCTAAGTTTCCTCCCCACCTTCCTAATCCCTGTGTCCACTCCCTCTCCATCACATCCCTTATCAACTACGTATCTACTTTCAGTACAGGTAAGTTTGCACATGCTAAAGTTTTATATACGGGAATCGTGCAACACGCACCTTTCTTTTCGGTCTAGCTTCTTTCACTCAACATAAGTATTACCTCTCAAACATTATGACGCACAATTCACTGAAGTAGGATCTTCTCTCAGAAAAAAACTAATCCACCCACTGGTTCCCCCAGCTTGTGAACAATCTTCAGGTATTGTGTATTTCTTCCCCATCTGGCAGATGCAGCAGAACCAAGGCTTAAAAATGTTTTAATATATGTGTCACACTAAATTGTCAGCCTTGGGGAAGGCATCTTGACTAATTTATGCATGCATTCAATAAATGTTTATCTTCTGGATTTCAGTTGGGCCTACACATTTCCTGCCTGTAGGGACGTTATAATCTAGAAGGTGGAGACAGACAAACTGGAAAATCAAAATTAAATGAGATTAGAGTGCTTTGTTTTGTTAGAACTTTGTAACTCTGGTCTTTTTGTACTCACGAATGCTTCACTCCTTAGTTGGATAGTGTAGAAATGAAACAAGATGAGCTCCTTCACACTTGCCAGAACTCTTTGGTAAATTGGAAAATTTAGAGTTAGAAATGGGGAACAGGATTGGCCGGGCGCGGTGGCTCACGCCTGTAATCTCAGCACTTCGGAAGGCCAAGGCGGTGGATCACCTGAGGTCAGGAGTTCTAGACCAGCCTGGCCAACATGGTGAAATCCCTGTCTGTACTAAAAATACAAAAATTAGCTGGGCATGGTGGCAGGCGCCTGTAATCACAGCTACTCTTGGGGCTGAGGCAGGAGAATCGCTTGAACCCAGAATTGGAGGTTGCAGTGAGCCAAGATCGTGCCATCGCACTTCAGCCTAGGGGACAAGAGCAGGACTTGGTCTCCAAAAAAAAAAAAAAAAAGAAAGAAACGGGGAACAGGATTCATCCTTGATTGAACTAATCAAAATAAATTCCTTAATTTTCAAGTGATCAACCAGCCTTGAAATGTATAGATGCTGACTTTCAATCAGCAATCAATTCTGGAGAATCAATTTATTCATTCAAAAAATATGTATTGAGCCAGGCACAGTGGCCCATGTCTGTGTTCCCAGCTACTCCAGAGGTTGAGGCAGAAGGCTCATGTGAGCCCAGTTCTGGGCTGTAGTGCGCTGTGCGGATTGGGTGCCTGTGCTAAGTTCAGCATCAACATGGTGACTTCCTGGGAGCAATGGACCACCAGATTGCCTAAGGAGGGGTAAACTAACCCAGGACAGAAATTGAGCAGGTCAGAATTCCTGCTGATCAGTACTTGGATAGTGCCTGTGTATAGCCACTGCACTCAAGCCTGGACTACATAGCAAGACCACGTCTCTAAAAAAAAAATAAATCTTGAAATATATATTTCAAGTCTAAGTGTCTAAGAAGATGTCAGGAGCAGTTATAGTCAATGTTCAGTGATGACAAGATTGATAAATTCAGTGCTTCAGAAAATGTTTGTTAAATGTTCTTAGACTTTTTTTCCAGAAGGGTTCTGTTTCCATTTTGGTCAATGGCATGTCTACTTTTCACTCGCACTGGATCACATACTAATTCTCCTCCTTGTCCTTGCCTAGTTACAACAATTCAACACTTACTAGTATACTGTTAAAATGCTAAGTAAAATAGTATGAGAATAAAATGATACAGTCTGGGCAACATGGTGAAACACTGTCTCTACGAAAAAAGCTAGAAAAATTAGCCCAGTGTGGCTGTGCGTGCCTGTAGTACCAGCTACTCAGAGGCTGAGGCAGGAGGATTGCTTGAGCCCAAAAGGTTGAGGCTGCGGTGAGCAAGATCATGCCTCTGTACTCCAGCCTGGGTAACAGAGCAAGACCCTGTCTCAAAATAAAGAAATAAAAAATGATAAAATAATAAAGACTCTCTTGAATTTTTTTTTTTTTTTTTTTTTTTTGAGACTGAGTCTCCCTCTATTGCCCAGGCTGGAATGCAGTGGTGCAATCTTGGCCTACTGCAACCTCTGCCTCCTGGGTTCAAGTGATTCTCCTGCCTCAGCCTCCCGAGTAGCTGGGATTACAGGCACGTGCCACCCTTTGTATTTTGAGTAGAGACAGGGTTTCACCATGTTGGCCGGGCTGGTCTCGAACTCCTGACCTCAAGTGATCCACCCACCTTGGCCTCCCAAAGTGTTGGGATTACAGGCATGAGGCACCATGCCCAGCCTATGTATTCTCTATTATAGCATTTATCCTGTTGTATTCAACCAACTTACTTGCTAGTCCCCCACTAAACATTCAACTGCATGAGGATTATAACCTTATCCATCTTAAATGCCTCCTAAGTAGGTGTCATCAAGCATTCAGTCATTTAATAAATATTTGTTGAACAAACAAATAAACTCTCTTGACAGGCCAGCATCTTAAAATTTTACTCTGTCCTCTGATTCTGGCATGCAGAGTGTCATGTCAGATTAAGATAAGGTACCATTCCTAAAGAATAGAGGGTAGCCAGGCGCGGTGGCTCACGCCTATAATCCCAGCACTTCGGGAGGCCAAGACAGGCAATCACCTAAGGTCAGGAGTTCAAGACCAGCCTGGCTAACATGGTGAAACCCTGTCTCTACTAAATACAAAATATTAGCTGGGCGTGATGGCACATGCCTATAATCCCAGCTACTTGGGAGGCTGAGGCAGGAGAATTGCTTGAACCCAGGAGGCAGAGGTTGCAGTGAGTGGAAATTGCGTCACTGTACTTCAGCCTGGGCAACAAGAGTGAAACTCTGTCTCAAAAAAAGAAAGTGGAAGTAAGAGAACCATGAAATTAAGGTGGACGGATCACGAGGTCAGGAGATCGAGACCATCCTGGCTAACATGGTGAAACTACGCCTCTACTAAAAATACAGAAAATTAGCCGGGCATGGTGGGAGGCGCCTATAGTCCCAGCTACTCAGGAGGCTGAGGCAGGAGAATGACATGAACCCAGGAGGCAGAGCTTGCAGTGAGCTGAGATAGCGCCCCTGCACTCAAGCCTACGCGACAGAGTCTCCGTCTCAAAAAAAAAAAAAAGTACTTCTAGGCCAGGCACGGTGGCTCATACCTGTAATCCCAGCACTCCGGGAGGTCGAGGTGGGCAGATATCTTAAGGTCAGGAGTTCGAGACCAGCATAATGAAACTCCATCTCTACTAAAAATACAAAAAATTAGGCCATGCGTGGTGGCTCACACCTGTAATCTCAGCACTTAGGTGGATCACGAGGTCAGGAGTTCAAGACCAGCCTGGCCAATATGGTGAAACCCCATCTCTAATAATAATACAAAAATTAGCTGGGTGTGATGGCATGCGCCTGTAGTCCCAGCTACTCGGGAGGCTGAGGCAAGAGAATTGCTTGAACCTGGGAGGCGGAGGTTGCAGTGAGCCGAGATCACGCCACTGCACTCCAGCCTGGGCAACAGAGTGAGACTCTTGTCTCAAAACGAAAAAAAAAAAATGGCCAGGCTTGGTGGCTCACACCCAGCACTTTGGGAGGCCAAGGCAGGTGGATCACGAGGTCGGGAGTTCAAGACCAGCCTGGCCAACATGGTGAAACCCCGTCTCTACTAAAAATACAAAAATTAGCTGGGTGTGGAGGCACGCTTCTGTAATCCTAGCTACTTGGAAGGCTGAGGCAGAAGAATCGCCTGAACCCAGGAGGCAGAGGTTGCAGTAAGCTGAGATCGTGCCATTGCACTCCAGCCTGGGCGACAGAGTGAGACTCCATCTCAAAAAAAAAAAAAAAAAAAATTAGCCAGGTGATGTGGCGGACTCCTGTAGTCCCACCTACTCCGGAGGCTGAGGCAGGAGAATCCCTTGAACCCCAGAGCCCGAGGTTGCAGTGAGCTGAGATCACGTCACTGCCCTTCAGCTTGGACAACAAGAGCAAAACTCTGTCTCGAAAAAAAAAAAAAAAACTTCTTGGCTGGGCATGGTGGCTTATTGCAGTAATCCCAGCACTTTGGGAGGCCGAGACTGGTGAATCCTTTG